AAGAGCAGGTACCCTGAAAACAAGCGTCGGGTGACCCTGAGCCGCAAACCCTCGGAAGATCTTCTCAAAGGTCACCTCACCCCTATCAAGGTGGGCAGTGTGGGCTCGGGGCTTCCAGGGCAGAACTGGCCAAGGAGGTGGCAGAGGGGGGGTCTCTCTGCCTCAAGCGGGGACTGGGCAAGTGGCCTCGAAGGCTGCCACCAACGGAAGATTCTTGAATTCTGGGTCTGGGCCCCTACGTTTCTACTCGTCCCAGAATCTGCTTCCTCAGAGGGTGGCTGGAAAGTGACACCCAGGGCTCCCACCCTGTCACTGCAGAGGGCCCTGCACCTCCTCTGGGAGGGTGACGCCCCCATGGGGTAGGCCGTGCGGGAACAGAGATATCCAACTGGGCCAGGCTCGAAATGCAGCACGCGGGAGGAAGGCAGCCTCTGAGGAGGCCATGCCTCCCTCTCCCTGGACTTTATTTTATTTTATGTTTTAGGCCTACAGCACCTGGTCTTCCTAGATGGTCTCCCATCCAAGTACTAACCAGACCCAACCCTGCTTAGCTTCCGAGATCAGACGGGATCGGGCGTGTTCAGGGTGGCATGGCCGTAGTCCCTGGACCTTACGACCCCCTCCGTCATCTGGCTGATTCTCTCAGCAGCCCTGAGAAACGGGCAGATAGGGAGGGCAGGTCCTGTTGGGGAAACTGAGGCTCAGGGAGGCCTGCCAGGCAGGCAGTATGTGGCAGGCATGAGAACCTGGGGCTCCTCTACCCAGTGGCAGGTCCTGGGAAGGACAGGCCAGGGAGTGGGGCCTCGAAGGGCATGGGCTGTCGAGGGAGGGAAGAGGTGAGCCGGGCTGTGGAAAGGGCTCACAGGAGACCCAGGCCAGGCCAGGCCTCCTCCCTCCTGCGGGGTGGGGGCCTGAGGCCTGGCCCAGAGCAGCCTTGGGAAGCAAAGCATTAGGAAGGGCGGTCCTTGAGCCTCCAGCCCAACCCGGGTGACTGGCTTTTTGTTGGATAGCTTTCCATGCCCCCTCGAGGGCACTGTCCCTGCTGCCTGGGCACCTCTGCCAGAGCTCGCAGACATCATTTCTGGTAATATCGTGCCTTTGAGTAACTCGTGACCAGGGTTTCCCAGTGGGCAGGAGGCTTTCACTGGTCCTCCAGCCGGCCTGAGTCCTAGTTCCCAGGTGAGGACACCAGCAGGCTCAGAGAGGTAAAGCAACATGCCCAAGGTCACATAGCACAGGCAAGGGACCCAAACCTTGTGCTTCTTGACTCACTGACTCCGCAAGCCTGACCTCCAAAACCTGATCCCACCGGGCCAGGCCACTCCCGGTTCAGAGCTGATATCCGGCCCAAATCAGAGCCACGTGTGGCTAGAGGCTGCTTCCCTGAGACCCTGCCCTATGGGCCAAGTCCCCGCTCTAAGACACAGGGCACTGGGGGAGAAAGAATGGAGGCCCAGGCCTGCCTGAGGCAGGTTGCTCACAGAGGGCCGGTGGGGGCGGGGGCGGAGGCCACAGCACAGCAGGCGCCACAGGAAGGGCCCCGCCCCTTCCTGTCAGCTCTACCAACGGCCCAGAGCAGCTGTGCCTGCGCCAAGGGGAAGCTGCAATTCTCAAAAACAAAAACCCCAAAGGAGGAACTTCCCCAGTGGCCCTGGAAGGCTGCTGGGCCCCCACCCCCTCCACAGGGCAACCTGGGCGGACAGCCAGGCTGCTGGGAGGCACGACAGGTCACTGCCCTGCTGCCACCCAGGGGCTTGTGGGCTGCCCTGTTCCAGTGGATGGGAAGCCAAACCTCCTGGGATCCAGCTGGGGTAGGGGCAGGAAGACGGCCTCAGGGTCCCCCTGCCCCCATGCCCTGGACCTGGGCAGCTGGACACGTGGTGGGAAGTCCATGGAGGCCCCATTGTACTCACCCAGCTTCTGGGAGAAGATCTTCTCAAAGGTCACCTCACCCCGGTCCTCCAGGTACTTCTGCATGACACTGCGGATGCTGAAAGACAGAGGGGACACAGTGACCCGGAGTTCCCGTGGCACCTGTTAGGCCTCCTGGCCCTTCCCTGGACGGCCACTGTCTCCTCTCCCAGAATCCAGAGTGTGGGGCACTGCTGGTGGGTGTCATTGCTCCTTCCAGGAAGGCAGCCACCCATCGGACCTGATCACAGGTCACACCGGAGGGACCCGGGGCAGCTGGTGCCTTCCCCCCAAGGCTCTGTGCCCCAAAGCTAGGCTGGCCAGCAGGTGGCTGCTCAGAAGTGTGGTCCCAGTGCTGCCCTGTACTGCCTTTGGGAACTTGGCCAAACCTCAAAAACCAGGCCTCAGCCACCAGCAGATGACAGATAACCAGAATGTGCCCTGTCCTTACGACGGAATACTGCCCGGCCATAACATGGAACGCAGCAATGACATACATGTACGTGACAACACGGATGAACCTCGAATGCATTCTGCTAAGAGAGAAAAGAATCGCAGAAGACCACATGTTATGTGATTTCGTTTACATGACGTGTCCAGAACAGGCAAACCTGCAGAGACAGAAAGCAGATCGGCAGCGGCCAGGGGCTGGGGGAGGAAAGCGGAGTGACTGCTAAGGGGTACGAGGTTTCTTTCGGGGTGCCGGAAGTGTTCTGGAATTAGGTAGCAGTGAGGCTCGCACGACACAGTGAATGTACCAAAGCCCATTGGACTATAAAATGATGGATTTAATGTTATGTGAATTACATCTCAATTTTTAAAAATAGTTAAAAAAAAAAAAAAAAAAGAGCCAAGCCTCAGTTCCCGTGTCCCTAACAGCTGTCCCTGGGCTGCGTGGGAGGGCAGTAAGGGAGGGGCTGGCCACTCTGACACGGAAGCCTAGCCCCACGCTCCCAGCCCTGATCTCGCCCTCGACGCCGGGCGCCGTCTGGGAAAGCGACACCATACCACACTTCGTGCCTCAGACGCACCTTTCTGTCCCCTCCTCCCCTCTCCTGGGCCACCTGCTGGCCTGCCTGTCATGACGGCCAGCTGAGGTCATGTCTGGCCCTCAGCGGCCGCCCGGGATCCTGAAAGACACTGTGCTGGGCAGTCACACCTGAGCCCACGCAATGCGCATATGGCCGTTAGAATATGGGGGGCCACCAGTCGGCCAATGAAGACTATAGCCGGTGAGGACCCGGATCAGAAAGTCCGGGCTCTGTGCCCTCACCTCTCTGTGTCCCTGCACCCCCTCTTAGACCCCAGCATGGGGCCCTGGTCACCGAGGCCTCCTGCACATCACCTGCTGGAAGGTACCATGCACCCCTGGTCTCCAGGCAGGGCTTCCCAGGGCACAAGTCATGGTCCTGTGACATTAGATAGCACATGACAAAGCCTGAGTGGGAAACCGTCAGTTCGAGGAGACACGGGAAGGGAAGTGTTCTGGGCCATCAGGAGAGGCCGTGTGGGGAAGGCGGAACTTCACTGGGTTCAAGTGCAAACAGGAGGTCAACAGGTGGTGAAGCCCAGGGCAGGTGAATGGACGTAGGGACAGGTAGGGGAAGGCCTGGCCAGGGATAAGCAAGAAGCCATCAGGTGAGGAGGGGGTTGGTGGAGGACACAGGAAGCTTGGTCCAGGGCAGGGAGTGGCTGGACAGACCCCACTGGATGAGGTCCAGGTATCTGAAGACACCCGGCCAAGAAGGAGGGAAAGAAACAGGGTGGGTAGGAGATGGTTCAGGCTGACGGATGGAGGAGCCGACGGGGCCTGATGGAGGGCAGGCAAGCCTGCAAGGGTTTTGAGGCTTTGGGCTGTCAGAGGGGCCTGAGGGGAGAAGGCTCCGGGCAGGGCCAGCACCTCCCTGGACCCTGTCCAGCCTCTGGGCCAGGGCTCGAAGAAAGGGGACTCCTGCCTTTTCCCGCTCAGCACCGTCCTTCTGAGACTGTCCAGGAGGGAGCCAAGACCCCAGGCCTTTGCCCATGTTCAAGTCACGCAAGGAAAAGCCCCGTGAGAACACGGGAACACACGGAGCTGTTGTACGCAGGATGCTGAAGCCACGACCTCTCTCCTGCTTCCCCACCCTTGGATGCTAGGAGATCTCCAGTGATAACTGTCTCCAGTAGGAAGAAGGGTGTTGATGACAAGGATTGACCTTCCGTGTCCCCATCCTGTGACCCCAGCAGACAAGAGTCCCCAGCTGAGGGCCAGTGGTCTGGTGGCCCCGAACTATCACTCTGGGGAAGCAAGGGTACCCTCTGCAGCCAGCAGGCACATTCCCCCCTCCTTGATGGGGGCCACACACCAGCCATCATCAAGGACACATCTCCCAGGCCCCATGGGACTCATAGGGACTCAGGAGGCAAGGCCAGAGTCAGTGAGCTTCAATCATAGCAGGAGCTTGAAAAATCTGTGAAACTAAGACACAGGTCTGTCCCGGGGCCTGCGGATGGCAGCCCCGGGAGGCCATGGGGCACAGTCAGCGCCAAGCTCCCAGGGCTCCCAGTTCTGCGAGAGACAGCTTGGGACTTCTTGTTCGGACATCAGGACAGGCTGGCCTGTGTTGGGGCAGAGCACAGCGGGAAGGGCCCAGTCCAAAGGATCGGCAGGGTGGTGAGACCAGGCATCCGGGAGTTGGGGGCATGGAGTCCGCAAGGGCCAGGTGGCTGAACTTCTCCCAGGAGGGGGACCAGGAAGATGGGGCCCTCCCCACCCCCTGGCTCAGCTCTGGGCTCTCACATCTGCACCCGATTCCCATGGAAGGGGATGAGACAAAGCAATCGAGAGAAAATGTCACAAAATGTCCATCCTCCATGGTGGTCAGGTGTGGCCAGGTGAACTATCCAGACAGGTAACACAGACGGCAAGCAGGCGACCCTAGCACAGCCCTGGAAATAGTCACTGGGAAGCCTTCCTGAGCCCCAAACGTGCTTCCCCGGGACCGGCGACACTGGCGCCAGCTCAGCAGAGGCGATGCGGTGGGGACGCCCAGTGCCAGCCCGGCGCAGTGCGTACTTCCGGCCACGTGACCCGGGGGCCCCGCAGAGAAGCAGAGACCTGGACACGCCAAGCTCCCCTCTGGGAATCGGGCTAAGAGGGCCTGCCCACCGGAGAGGGCAGGCTGCAGGCAACAGAGCCTTCGCGGTGGCTCTGCTGTCGCCCCAGCCCAGGGACAGCGGAAAGCGGACCAGCTCCAAGCTGCCTCGGTGGCCAGACCCCGCCCCCCAGAAGTCTGCATGGGACGGCCACAGCATTCTTCCCAGCACACAGCACTTCATTTTCTTCCTTAAAAAGAAAAAAATGTTTTCTAAATAAATAAACACAGCCCCCCCCACCACCCCACGAAACACAAGGTCAGACTGGAGCAGAGGCCTCGAATGGAAGGCCCCGAAAGCAGCAGCATGAGGGCTTCCTGTCCACCCCACGGCGCTGGGGGCCGAGGGAGCTGGCGGGTCAGGAAAACGTGTTGTGGGGGACGCTCCTGCCAGGGTGGCAAGTACAGGCTGGCACGGGAGGCGGTGGCAGCCTCCCGGGCTGGGTCACCTTCGTCTCCTACACCCGCTCTCTGATACTGGCGGAGTCTGGAGTGGC